AATGTTTAATTAACTTATTAAAGAAATTAAAGATTAAAAAGATGTGGGGCTGCCAGGACAACTTCAGCACGCCACGGCATGAATTCAACAAGTATCTGGTGAAGTAGTATTTACAGCAGAATGAGATTGAGGGAGATTAATAGCGGGGTCGGTGAAGAGTGATAGTTGTTGCTCAACATATCGGTAGAATAACATATTTGAGACTTGCCTGAGGAGGTAAATGTATTCTGATTTCCATTAATAGGAAATGAACGGCCAGTTAATGTAGTTTGTAAAGACGGGGCTGATTTATTGGCTTACACACATGCCATTAATGTGTGTGCAAACAGTGGTACCGTGGGACCTTAAGCCTGTGATCTGGTTAGTGTGATCGTCTGTGATGCAAAGCTGCATGAGAGGCACGTGGCTCCAACAAATATTCTGTGAAATGAAACCTTTTTACCTTATGAATATGAAATGTACTATATGAACAAAAGTATTGGGTCACACCTCTTGCCTAAACATGTAATGGCCATATTCAACCAGAAGGCTGGTTATACCAAATCTGTGAGTATTTCCTTGTAGAAAATGCTGAGCACCTCCCAGCTGTACTTTGGGACTAGATTGCAGCTGAACTCTAGCATCCCTGCATGTAAGAGAAGGGGAATAGCTACTTTAAAAAAAAAAAATCAATATTCTTTCATGACCTCCTGAAGTCCTCTCATTACAGCTTTGCACTCATCACACTCAGTCGGTAACTCGTGGGTGTAGTGAAAAAGGGAAATGGACTTGTATTGTGCCTTTTTTCCCCTTTTAGTCGTTCACAAAGTGCTTTACACATTTTGGCTCACACATACTCTCACATAGCACTGGCAACTGATCTTTCATGCAAGGTACTCGTCTACCATCCCGAACAACTTTAGGTTCACTTTCTTGCTCAAGGGCACTTTGGCATGCAGACAGGAGGAGGTGGGTGTTGTGTAGGCAGCCCTCTCTTCCCCATACAGACAATTTAATTTGTAAAATAAGAATCAGGAAAGTGCAAATAAAGTGGATGAGGGTTCTATCCTGAATGCGTTTATATCTTCATCTGTCTTTATATTTTTCTTTCTTTCAGACGTCCTATGACCAAAATAGAGATATTAAAGTGAGTTCGTCGTAAGATTCTCAAATAATCGAATTATTTTAATAGTTTTTGTCTTTGATTGCCTTAGTGGCAATTTCAACTCAGTCTGAAATTAGAAGAGACAGTGGCATGTGTCGGCATTCAGTCGGTGCTTGATTTGTTACTTAGCAGAAATATTTAGCTACGAGGGGGCTGTTATTCTCTGCTGTGGTCGATCACACTGAATCCTCAGGGACTCTAATATGACTAGACACATATTGAGGTACTCCATTTGACATCAGACATTTCATCTCCTTAATATAAAGAAATTGCCTGGAACGGGGGCCATTTTTTAACTTTGTGTGCTTGATGGATGCAATTTATATTCAGCTATAGTCTGCGCACCTAGCCAAATGAAGGACCTTTATATTTTGAAATCCAGGAAAACACAATCCCTCTCTCATTATAAGAAAATAACAGAGGATGCAGCTGCAAAGTGATGTTAGTCCCATAGTTCCTCTGAGGCTTCGTGTTTACAATCCGGTTGTACACTGTAACAACACAGGGCTGCAAATTACAGAGCCCCCATGGCAACATAGGTGGGAAAAGATCAATAACTCATGGCCACAAGCTGGTAAGGTGTGGGCACATGATAACTCAATTGTGGCTACATGACACTGAATCTGTTGTTTACTGCACACTGGACGAGCTCCATGCATGAAGCATAGATACATTTGATTTGGATTGATCTTATTTTTGCGACGCATCATAATATCCCGCAATGTTTGTCACGCTTGTTGCCAGACGATTGCACCATTCACCTTATCGCTAATGTGCTAATCTCCATAAAGCTTTAGTCTGACATATATATTAGCCTTCAGTCTCTAGGCACAGACTTTCAGAGTAAACAAAACTGTATTTATGAACAAAGCTGTCGATTCCACCTCACAACATTTTTCAAATTTATTGCTGAGCAATGTTTAGCGCGGTCAGTAAATAACATTCTACATCTTGTGGTCACCATTTACTTGTGAGTTTCCTGAGCCTTATTAAAAGGCAATAAGCAGGTTTTTGCTTTAACTCATTGTGAAGTAAATGTTATGCGTATATAATAACACATGTTGTTAGACTATATATAGAACCTCCTAAAAAGCCTGGATTGGAGAACCAAAACTGGGAAACTGGATAATGATTTCATTTCCCTGTGAGCTGCTGTTAGCATGGATTCGTAGATCTGCCAAGTTTTTCTAAGCACTCATGGTCACCCCCAGAAATTTCCAATATATGCAAATTATTATTGTTATTTAGTTATTTATTTTTTACAAGTGCTAAATTAAGGACTTGGAGATAAAAGCAGAAGTACTTCACTCACCATCAACCACACAGTCTTAGCTTTATTACATTTGATAGTCATACATGTGCATCTCTTTGTCAGTTGCTACTGTAATGTCTAGCCAACACTCACTTATCTTCTCCTAATGCATTACTAACTTGTGGCCACCCAATAAAATATTAATGCAGAGCAATTATATTTTCCCACCCATGTCACTGGGGAGGAAAATGGAAGAAAACGAGGGAAGTGTTTATGGCGTTTATGGGATGCAGTCAGACTGAGCTTTCACTGTATAACCTTGGTTCAGTTCTCTGAGCACTCAACATTATTTCCTCTCTTAGATTTTGCACAAGTGCGTGATGCTGCAGTAGCTCATTTTCTCTGGTTTGGTTCAGCGTCTTTGGGTTTTAAGAGCAACTCAAGTTGTAGACGTAATGTGACAATGCCAAAAGTGTTCAAAGTAACATATAACAGTTATACTGCCGTGGTGTGGGTGAATATCAAAAGCTTAACTGAGGTCTAATCAATGCAGGTTTTAGGAAGCTGTGTAATAGAAATAGGTTGATAATGGCTGCACTTTAATCATTCTATTTTATTATGGAAAAAGGACTCCCTGAGCCACATTTTACTCAGAGCACAGTGTTCTTCCATTATGACAATCTGCCATTATTTTTAAGCAGTGCTTCAATTAAACCCCCACATAGAGGAAACAACTCAGCCAGTGTGCTTAAATACTGAACCTTCCACTTCCATTTGTATTCAGCTTCTTATCGTGACCTCCCTCTGTAGCGCACTCTGCCTCCCTGCTCTTTATTAGCTGTCACAAAAAAATGCAGGTCATATCATGGGCGTTCGCCTGGGAGCTCGAGCTGTTCTTAACTTTCAGAAGATTTCTGCCAAAAGATGCCAGGCACAGCTCCTCCCGAAGACCCTGCTTTTCATCTGCTGCTCGTTTTTTTTCATGCAAAAGGTTCTTGAAAGGAGCTGAAATATACTCGTGCTCAAAATAAAGAAAAGATGGCGCAATCGAAACCGCATATTGATGTTATAATGAGCAGAGAAGTGAAATATTGACAAAATGTCGATACATTCAGCTAGGCAGGTTTCAATTAGTACTCTGTAGCCCCAACAATACACTTTACAGTTTGAGATGACGGGTTTATTGATTGGTTGGTTGGTTGATTAAGTTTTTTCTTCTCCTCTCACAGAACACACAGACTGTTCTTTATTAATTACTTTACTAGAGTTGAATCTAAATCAGAGGTTATATAGTAAAGGACAATGGACCTGCTCAGTATTGTTTGACATTTTCTGTGGTAAGATACTGGGTATCTCTCCCCATTAGATGACCAGATGTGGAGCAAACAATGTCACAGTTGTCAGCATGGCAGATAAATGTTACCGTGTGAGACGGATAATTCTGCCAATCGGTGTAATTACTTTGATGTTTAAAAGGATAATTGCATTCCTGAATATGAGTGATTGGCATCTTGTTGTGTAAAGTGCTTGAATTCATGACACATTATTTATTTTTTAAACATCTGTGGAAATTGTTGTTACATTTTTAGTGGCCAAGATCAGTTGTTACAGAACAAAAATGCACATCTGAGCATTCACATCAAAATTTGTCAAATGAGAAAAAGGAAAATGTGATTTTAAAATAGCCTTTATAGAGAAAGTGAAGCCTGATTTAGGTCGACAGCTGTACAAAGATTATTGTGAAACGTGCACATGCTGTGTGATGTCACTGTGTACAGAGCCATGATGTGATAATTACCATCTCATATCTCTCTCTCAGCGTTCAGCATCATAATCTGATTCAACTACTCACGAGGTGTCTTTTGTCTGGGAAGATGACAGCCATAACCCCCCCCCCCAGAAAAAAAAAAGCAGGAGCAATTATGACACTCAGAGGAGCCCTACGTGCCACTTCCTGTTCAAGCCCTACGTGCCACTTCCTGTTCAAGCCGGCAGGTTTAGCAATCAGACAGCTGGCACTTGATATGTTGTGAATTGTGGCAGTTTTATCTGTCTGGGAAGACTAACTGTGTAATCCCAGGCACTGTTACATCATCACCATCTTCCGTCACAACAATCCCCACCTCACCCTTCGCCCATTCCTCTGTATTTCCAAGGTCAGTTGAGTAACATCCTGGCTGGGCTGATAATTTGAGAGATTGTCCCTGCAGAGATGCATCACGATTATACTGCAGGATTAATGGATTGTAGATTGATTGGTGATGTCCCCTTAACTAAAAGGTTAAGTTGAAGTGCACCTGCAGCCTCTTCAGCAATTAAGAGGAATTAAGGTATATGAGGTGTTGTCGTGCTTTTAACCTGGATCTGTTAATTTGTTTATTCTCCAAACAGCCGAATAACCACGCAACACACGTGCCTCACAAGCGGCGAAAGAAACAAAAAGATCTTTCAATTCTCAGCCACAAAATGGATTTTAATTATGCAAAAGCAAGGGGATAAATTTATAAAAGGAAGTGCAGTTTTTCAAAGCACTCGAAGACATCCTGGAAGTGTATGTGCAACGTTCAGCTTTATTGATATTCCTTTTCTTCACTTTGCCAACAGTTCGTTACCTGCTGAGGAACAATGTGAGTCCAGACCTCTGCAATGAAGACGGCCTTACAGCTCTGCATCAGGTAAGATTATCTGTCTCCACCTGTCCTTCTTTATGTCCATCTTTGACTTTTCTGATGTGTTTTAACTCTGCCTGTTTTTTTTTTTAAAGAAGATTAAGAACTTGATGTATAATTTGAGTCTCATTTTTTTAATCCAGTTTTTTTTATACTGATTGTTGAATTTCCTGATTAAGACATGCAGAATATGTCAGTATTTTATGAGCATTTTTTAGTCATATACACCCCCAGCTCTAAAAAAGTTGGGATGCTGTGAAAAATAAAGCTATATTTTATTCACGATTGAACATAATAACATATATCAAACATTTAACCTGAGAAAATTGCCCATTTTAGAATAGAATAGAATAGAATTCAACTTTATTGTCATTGCACATGTTACAGGTACAGGGCAACGAACCTGGACAAACATTTTTTAACTGATAAGGTTATTTGGTAACAGATCCAACAGGTTCTATTGTGAATACAATATGGATTTATGAGATTTGCCAGTCATTAAAGTCTGGTTATATTTATTTTTCATGTGAAATCCAAACATGTTTGGAATTCGGTTTATATGCAGCCCTTTTAAAAATATGCACCTCAGTGGAGTATTCCTGTATTTTGTGACAGTCTCTTACCTCTACCACTGAGCTTCAAGAAGCAAAAAAAGGCACCAACTGGGGAGGTGAAAATAATAATTAGGTAGAGGAAATGTTCAGAAAAATGCACCGTTAATCATTTTAATTGGGGCAGCGCTGACATTTACTATTGTTAGACACATAATATGTGTAAAACGTTTTTTAATCTCTTTGTTTTGATCATGTGTTTTTCATTGAACGCTGTAACATCAAGGCTTTTTCTACCTCCACCATCACCATCTCTTTGTTGAAATGTAATGAAATAATTTCCAGAGAAGTTTGCCTGAGTGGGAATTAATGTTTGAGGTTTTCTGACATTGAAAAAATGACTTTTAATAGTCCGGAAATGAGTTAAGTTTTGGGGAAATGAATCATTTTTTGCCGTCGGATATTCATAGAGGATGTGAGGCCTGTTTTCACTTGCTAATGAAAGCTATTACTGACATGATAATCAAAGCTTCCCCCTCAACCAAATCAATTCCGCGTGTCACTTTTCATTTTAAACTTCTCAGTAAACAAAGTCAGCCTTTAAATTTAAAAAATAAACTTTTTTGTACCCCAGTTGTAGGTTTTCTGACATCGCCATTATTCAGTCCCAGCGTCCATCGCTGAGCTGAAAGATTCCTGGAAACATGGGAGCAGGAGAGAACATTTTATTTTGCAGAAAGCTGGATTATTGAAGGAGCAGGATGGCCATAAACTTGCTGGTATAGCTCACTGCATCAGTTTGTTTGTCCCTCCTGAGCTGAAATGTCAATTGCTGAAGCAGCTCGTAGAGTAAACTCTAGATTTTATTTAGGTTTGGATGGCAACTTTATGGGTGAAAAAGCAGTTGTTTACAATGTGGAAGTCATCAAACTTTCTCAACTTTCCCCAAGTGGGGTCACATTTTAATGTAAAATAAAAACAAATCTGACTTCCTGAGTGATGACATTTAAACATTTCAGAAGGCCCGATGCTTATTTATGACTTTGGCTTCCCCTCTGCTCTTTAGCTCCTCGTCCCCCGCTCTTCTCGTTTGTCTCCTTGTGCAATTTCAGTGTACCCCTGACAGTTTATGTCCTCTCTCCTTCTTTAGCTTCTCAGTCTGCTTCAGCTCGAATAGCCGTCCTTTTCTCTCTCTCCTGGTTGTTCACAGCCTAATATCCAGGCTCCTGCTGAGAGGCGGTGAAATGAACAGGGGAAGAGAAAATTGAAGTCCATCAGTCACCAACAGTGTGAATGCTGTTTTTAAAAGTGGTGGGCTGCCAAGAGATCAGATTGACCTTTCAGCTTTGAATGTGTGTGTACCTGGTAATCTGCTATTTGGATGGGTCAGCCAGTGTCTTCAAGATGAGACCTTTTCGTGACTATGAATAGCAACACACATATAGACACACACACGCACACACGCATGCGCTCACACTGTAAAAAATGACAGTCACACAAAGGAAATTCACACAAATGCTCTTCTGTGTTCATTTTGTCATCTTGTTTTTCAGAAGCTTGATTAAGCAGAGACAGAAAACTAGATACTGAAATGGATGTTGGGGAAAGAAATGAGTGTGAGAACACACACATACACACACATACAGACACACACAGACACCCGACAGAAGGTGAGATAAATGAAGGAAGGTAGCAGTGATGTTCTCTAAATGAAGTGTCATACCTGTCCTGGACTGGTCTCGCTTCACTGACTCGAGACATTAATCAGGAGGCGTCCTGCAGGGGGTCACTGTATGTACAATAACACAACTACACACACTGCAGTATTTACTACAGTTTTTTTTGATGAATGCATCCAGATTCCTTTAGCTGGGATGTCTAAAATCAGCGTACATGCATTTGTCTGTTTGCATAAATGTGAGTGGAGCGTGGACACGAAACGCAGCCTCAGTCCTTCATTTTAAGGAAAACTGCTGTATTGGAAGTAGTAGCCTGCCAGTTCAGAGGGCTCACCCTGAAAATATCTGAGGGGGAAAAACTTGCTTTCACTGTTTCTGTCTGTTAACTCATTCACTGCCATTGACGTCTATAGCCGTCAATGGCAGTGAATGAGTCAATGGGTTTAACTCATTCACTGCCAATGGCTGGCATGTGAATGAGAATGTGAATGAGTTAAGTATATGCACATGCACAGTATTACAGTACTGCCATACAGGCAATAACAGTTTTACCCTACAGTGATTTGCAGCATTTAAACATGTTTACTGCTCTTTTATTTCATAAGTTCTGACATCCAGAGTTCAAATTAGCACCCAGCAAACTGCCAAATGTGGGTAAATGTTCCATTTAGTGGATGAGCCTCAGGGGTGTAGCTTCCACTCTGGTGGGTAAATGTTCGTGCCAAAATAATCATGTAATAAAACACAGCGGTGAGAGCCTCTAATGTGTTCTGGTGTCATTTTCAAGCACCCTGCTATAGGGGGTCAAGTGTGACAAGTTTGATGAGGAAGCTTGTCGAGTACAATAGTAAAACATACACTGGGGGAAAATCATTATTTGATCCCCTGCTGAATTTGTATGTTTGCTCACTTACAAAGACATGAAAGGTTTTATGGTGGTTTCATTTTAAGGGACAGAGATAGAATATCAACCAAAACTCCAGAAAAAACACAATTTCAGCTTTTTTTTTTCTTTTTAAAGTTAAAATTTAATCCCAACCAAAACATGGCCTAGTAGTTGGAGAAAGCCTTGTTGGCAAGTGGTAAGACATTTCTTGTCTCATCTCAGCTGGGAGTTTGGCCCACTGCTCTTCTCTAAATTCTCTAAATCTTTTAGGACAGCAGTCCCCGACCCCCGGGCCATAAGACGTTTGGTACCGGGCCGCGAGAGTTGAGGCCCGGGTTAAAA